GTCGTTTTACTTTTCAAGTCGAGTCGAAATGCAGAACAGGTCTGATAGTAAAACTTCGTTTTTAGTTTTTCTCTCTAACGTCAAAATTTTTTAAAGGACTTTGTAGTTTCAAAGATATGCCTAATTCCAAAAATTATTTAAAAAATTCATTCCAATGTAGGAAAACAGTATGGGTACCAAATGAAAGAGAAAGTTCTTTATAATTACAAACCATTAAAAATTTTTGATTCACAAGGACGAATAGGTCTTATTTTTCTTAAGTGAATAAAGTGAGCAGGACGAAATTCGAGGATGTTGTAGAGTGCATATTAGTCATTAACATATAATTTTTTCGAAAATAATTATTGCAAAATTTCAATGACAAAATGTTAAAAGGACCTTTTCAATACTTAATCGTTTGTATGCACCAAAAAATTTAATCCGCCTTAATTCTACAGAATTTTCTCTTTAATTTGATAGTCAACTGTCTTTCTAAATAACACTAAAGTTTTTTGATAATTTTTTGAATTATATTTTTCAAATTTCAAAGTCCTTTAAAAAAATTCCGACGTTAGAGAGAAAAAAAACCTAGTTTACTATATTTGGCCCATGGTTTCGCGAATATATAAATTTTGTGTGTGTAAAATTTACAGTGTAAATAATAGAAAACTTTGTTACTAAAATATGAAAAAATAAGGGAACAAAATTTTGGAAAAAACCGCATACATAAAAAGTTATACAAAAAATACACTATAATTAGCGAAAATGCAGAAGTTTTTTTATACAATTTCAACTAAAAACTTTTTTGAAAAAGATTTTAAAACAAGTAATTTTTAGCAAAAAAACCGACTTAAAAAGAAAAAAAAATATATATATATATATTTCATGATCCAATGATTGAATCTAAACTAGATTAGTATGGGACTACCTCTGAGACACTACATTTTCGATGCAAAAATAATTATAGAAATCAGTTGACGTGGTCCAAAGTTATGCGGTAACATACATAAAAACAAAAAAAAAACAAACAAAACAAAATATTCCGACGAACTGATAATCTCCTCCTTTTTTTGGAGTCGGTTAAAAATTAAAAGAAGATCTAATCTGCGCACATATTGGCCAATTCAATTTGGATTTTTGGTTTGTAAATTATTCTATCTCCCGCTCCTGCATAAACGCGATTACATGGAAACTTTTTTTAATGTAATATGTAGTAAAACGGTTATTTTCGGATTCATTACACTGAAAAAATAGTTTGAACGAATTTGCGTATACGTAAAGCCTGCTTAGCAGACGGCAGAGAACCCTTAACCCACTTTAACAAGCTTTACTAATCGAGGGTCAAACGATTGAGTAAAGACATCTACATATATCTGAATGCCCACTCATTATCCCACTCCAATCTATCTGAGTTTTATTTACTAAGATAAAGTCGGCCATGTCAGTTGAAATAAACACATTTGGCCACAAAAGGAACTCTCTGGCTTTTAAGCAACGAAGAAACACACACATACATACATGCATACATACTTTCTTAGGTATTAATACTAAGAACATGAAATAAAGGAGAGAGTGTCAAAAAATGCACTACCACACCTCTTCAGTTGCAGTTAATGCTCTCACACAAATACAATAACAACAATTTAAATTAAATCGCCTTGTACCGAGGAAAAAAACGAGCAGACACACCCCCATACACACGTCTTGAGTCCTTGCATTCCTTTGCAGCTCTTACATACAACGGGAGAAGAAAAAGACTTTTGTAGGTATACTTGGCGAAAAAGTGCCACTGAGCAGTCATAACAGGCGAATGAGTACTTAAAGCCAAAACACGAAAAAAATTGTAATCAATGTAAAATTTAGCGCAGAAGAGTGAATAAAAAAATGTTATTTGTAGGGGTTTAGCTGAATGGGCCAGGATAAAAGGAGGTGGTATTGGACTAGGTTGAATGGTAAAGGGTGTGACAATAATTGCACCTAGAAATTATAGGTAGAAAGTGCTGAGCAAACATGTGTGTAGTTTTAACATTACATTCAGTTACAGCTAGCTTTTTTAAAGCTTTTAAGTAGAGTTGGAGTAGTTTGCCACCCTTTTGCAAGCTTCATTGAAGATACAGCAATCGCTCACTTTTCACGAACATTTATAAACATCCGAGGGTTTTACATTTTTTTAACAAAGAAAACTTTTGGCCTTTATTTCTTAACATAGAAAGTATATATAACAACAACAAGTCAAAACACAAAGCCAAAGCCGACCACGAAACTGTGACACTAGTCCGTCTAACAATTATTTAAATCTACAACTCATGTATGTATACTCTACATGACTTTCAATACCCTTGCAAATGACTCGTGCCTAGCCATTCTGATAATGCGGTTTGTGTTTGTGGTTTATGGTTGAAAGCCTCTATCTGCTTGAAATCTTGAAATTAACACAGTTGGGTATGTGAAAGAGAAAACCGAACGACTGCTGACTTCTGATAGAAGATTAGCTTATTTTAGTAAGCTCCACTTTCAAGAAGATTTCACATATGAGCAAATCTCATGAGTTGTTTTTTTCCCTCTCTCGCCAGAAACAAAACGCTAAAGCATTCTTCTTGTATAAATATTTCAATCAATGGAGTTCTTTAAACAAGTAAAATAAAAAATAAATCAAGTATTTGAACAATTTTAGCCTTAAGACGCTAATAAAACGCGCATAAAAGTTATTTTTAATAACTTTGGGAAGTTTTCAAATATAATGTTCATATTCGCAACATATCTGTAGAGTTTCAAGAGTGTGCCAACAATTTAAAAAAAATGGCACCATTCAGTATATCTGTCGCAGCTATGTTGTAATTTTTGAAATTGTATGATTCTTTAATTTTAATAATTTTATTTAAGTTCTTGAAAATGTTAAAGTTAAACAATGAAAATGTTCCGCGTGTCAAAACGAACGAATCTAGTTTATCTCCAAAAAAAAATTACATTGAGTAAAATATGACTATTGATCTTTACAATTTTTATTAGCACACTCGAAATTCATTCAAAAATTGTTATGTACATGAACAAAGTAATATGTATGTATGTGTACAAGGAATACTGTGTAAAAATTTTCCACGCCAATATTTAATTACTTTTAAGTTAAGGCGTGTGACTAAACATGTTAAATGGCTGCGTATGATAATACGTTACATACGCAACTACAGGTATACATACATATGAGCATGTGTGGTTATTTTCCTTTTTTTAGTATCAGCCCTGTTCTACATTTCGATTCCGCTCAAATTTTTCGGAATCGAAATGCATTGGTGTTCTTGATTTCGATTCCGACCAAATTTTTTCGATTTGAAAAGTTTGCACTTTGGCTAGTCGGAATGAAAAGTAATTGGCTAAGGAAACCCAAATATATATGCAGTTTGTTCGCCAAATATTTTCTTTTGAATTTTTATGATATTGAGAGAATTTATAAGTC